AAGAGTTGGAATTCCGCATCAAGGAGGGAGCGAAGGTGGACATGACCCCCCGCTATGGCCTCTCGATGAAAGTCAAGCGGTGCCCACATTTCCAAGTGAAACGACGGCCCCTGAAGGACAAGTGAATGGCACAGATAAGATTTGGGATTTTAATGTAGTCATATTTGCATGTATGCAGATGTTATGAATAATTTTGCAATAACTTTAAGGCATAGGTTCTTTTTATTGCATTTTTCCATGTGAGAGCATATCAGAACTTTTACAGAACAACATTTAGGCAGATGTACACATTCTACGTAACTACACTGAATTAAAAAAAAACAAAAACGTACAGTTGCATTGACTAACAAACAAGGGGGAGGGGTTACATTTTCACTTAGCATTCACATTGCACAGACACATTCAGTCATCAGTATGCATCCAAATATTACCTTATCTTTTCTCCCTCTTGCTTAGGGCAGACCCTTCTTTCTCTGCAGCCTGCCAACACACTGTTCCAAAACTTCAAAATGCATTCTCTTTCCTTAAGAACAATGTCATGGATCAGATCTCTGTTTTCCCTACAGCAGAAACTGACTCTCTGCAAACATAATATGACTCCTACATCGCATCCCTTTCTCTTCCCTTGAGAAAAGGTATAAGAGACCAGATTGCGTTCCATTGCAGATCTGGCACTCCCAAAGGTATAGCATCTCTCTCCTTCCCATGGAGAAGAGTGGCAGGTGGGCCAGACTCCTCCGATCTGCCACAATTTTGGAATGTTAGATGGTCTCTTATATAGGAATAGTTCTTGCAGATGTTGTTCCAAAGTTGTAAATGAATGATGGATGTTTTTTCTAGCCTGAAACATCCCAGTTTCATCTCAGTTCCCAGCAGATGTTGACTCTCCTAAATTGGTGTTGGTAAATGTAAGGAGCCTTGTGTTGACATTGTCTCTGATAATATAAATACATTGGATGACTGCCATAGATGCAGGCAAAACATCAGGAAAGAATGCTTCTAGAACAGGGGTCCTCAAACTAAGGCCGAGGGCCGGATGCAGCCCTCCAAAATCATTTACCCGGCCCTTACTCAGGTTCAACCTAAGTCTGAAACAACTTGAAAGCACACAACAACAACAACAACAACAACAATCCCATCTCATCAGCCAAAAGTAGGCCCACATTTCCCATTGAAATATGAGTAAGTTTATATTTGTTGAAATTGTTCTTCGTTTTAATTATTGTATTGTTTTGAAGTGGTATTTGCACTACAAATAAGATATGTGCACTGTGCATAGGAATTAATTCATGTTGTTTTTCAAATTATAATCTGGCCCTCGAACCGTTTGATGGACTGTCACCTGGCCCTCTGTTTAAAAAGTTTGAGGACCCTTGTTCTAGAACATGATCATACAGCCTGAAAAACCTACAACAACTCAGTGATTCTGCCTATGAAAGCCTTCGACAATACATTAGGAAATGTTTACAAGGTTCCTTACATTACAAAGGAAGTCAACACAAGGCTCCTTACATTTACCAACACCAATTAAGAAGAGCCAACATCTGCCAGGAATTTAGATGAAGCCAGGATATTTCAGGCTGGAAAAACATGTATCATTCACTTTGGAACAATGTCAGCAAGAAATATTGCTAAAACTAAAGAGCCATTGTCTCTAATAATGTAAACACGTTGTTTTCCCCCCAAAAGTTAATCAAGTCAGCAATGTCAACAGTTAATTATTGTCAGTGGTCATCAATGTCAGCAGTTCAGCAACTTTTAATTACAGTCCATGAATTCTTCACATCATTCTTGTAGTTTTCCAGGCCTCATTCTTAATATGGCATCTCTAA